TTGTACAATTGTTATTATTTTAAATAAAAAAAAATAAAGATACAGGGAAGTCATATTTTTTTATATGGCAACATTGCCTCATAACAAAGTAATAGTTTAATTCTTTATCATCATGACAACAAACAACAATGTTAGAATGCCAAATTTAAATGTCAAAATTTGTTACTTTAAGTTATAGGTTATTTATTTTACGTCAGACTGGATAGAAAAAAATACAGGGGAAATAAAGGGAACTAATATAACCATAGATTAAATCTATGAAGAAAAGCTAATTTTAACTAATATTAAGTTTTATTTTAAGAATTTACAAAAATTGCTTAAAATGACGTCCATTTTGTTCAATGCACAATCTTACTCGATTATTCATCGCCATACGAACCCTCTCAAATATACCCAGAGTACCCTGCACGTGAGTAAATGCTGCCCTTACCTTGACGAGGAGTTCTTCTTCGTTCTGTATCGGTTCCTCGTAGACCAAGGTTTTCACGTGACCCCAAAGAAAAAAATCCAGAGGAGTAAGATCCAGAGATCGTGCGGGCCAACGAGTCGGACCGCCTCTTCCAATCCATGTGTTTGGAAAAACGTCATCGAGATGTTGCCGAACCAATTGGGCAAAGTGGACAGGCGCACCGTCGTGCTGAAACCACATATCTCGGTGAATTTGGAGCAGGAGATCATCCAAGAGGTCGGGAAAAACATTAGCCAAAAAATGCAGGTAAGTCGGCCCATTCAAACGCGGCGGAAGCTGGTATGGGCCGATTACCTGGTTGCCCACAATACCGGCCCAAATGTTCACCGAAAACTGATTTTGATTTCGTCGCAAAGCAATGGCGTGGGGATTTTCGTAATCCCAAACATGACTATTGCGACTGTTAAAAAAGCCGTCTCTCGTAAAACATGCCTCGTCTGTGAACAGAACTTTACGGCCAAAATCCGGCTGCTGTTGGTGCTGCTGTTCCCACCAACGGCAAAAGTTTACCCGCAGCGGATAGTCATCCGGACCCATTCCCTGCACTTTCTGTAAATGGTACGGAGAAAGCTGTTCGTCTTGAAGTACCCGATGCACAGTTGATCGCGAAGCTCTCATAGCATGTGCAATCGCGCGAACACTTATGGACTGGTTCTGCCGGACATGGTTAAGCACCGCCTCTTCAAAAGCTGGGATGCGTACAGCGGCCGGTGGACCAGCACCAGCTTTTTGCCGAAAATTGCCATTTTCTCGCAGCCGACGATGAATCCTACCAAACAATGCATGATGAGGCTGACGACGTCGCGGAAAACTCAACTGATAAAGGCGCTCGGCTCTTCGTCCCCTACCGCCGGCTTCCCCATAAATTAAATGCATATCGGCCAGATGAGCTATGGGATACCATGCCATGTCTAATTTAATCTATGGTTTTATTATAGTTATAGTTTCCGATAGACTCCCTGTCTGACGTAATATAAATAACCTATAACTTAAAGTAACAAATTTTGACATTTAAATTTGGCATTTTCTAACATTGTTGTTTGTTGTTATGATGATTAAGAATTAAACTATTACATTGTTATGAGGCAATGTTGCCATATAAAGAAAATATGACTCCCATGTATCTTATTAAATAATAAAGAAAGAATTTTTTAAACAATTTTCTGGAATTCCTGGGGGTCTTTAGATAATACTCCTTCATTTTGTCGCACTAATTGTGGGACACCCTGTATATATGAAGTAGGTTTAAAAATTAATTAATTAATATTTTTATTTTTGTTTGTTATAAAGAAAGCGGTTAAATCTATGAAACACGTGAATAGTTTTTATAAATAAAATAATCGTTAGTTAGCACTATTAAATTGAGAAAATTACAAAATGGACAATTTAAGCACTAATTATTAGTGCTTAAATTGTCAGTTCCTAGTCAAAAAAATAACAATCTATATATCTACATATACAGGGATGGTAATGTGCTCTTAGGCCGTTTAATAAATAAAGACAAATGCATTATGAGACGTAATAGTGGTGGGGCAGGCCAGACCGCGCCGCGCCAGGGCTGGATGCTCCCGTGTACGAGTTTTGGTTCATGCCGCGCATGACGTCACTTGATGAGTATTTGCCGTGCGAATACACGAATAATAGTAATATTATCAAAAAAATAGAGAAATATCTGGACATAGTGCGTTTTTATTAAACTTAATATTGAAGAAAGTGTTATAGTATGGATAATAGATGCTTTTAGTCCTTGATAACATTTAGGGCTGTAGTTTAAGCCTTGGTGTTTTAAATTAAACTTATAGCCACTGTCCAGAAAATGTTTATAGGAAACAGAAGCGGTCTTAACGTTAATATTGCCTATTCTTTTTGTGGCATTTAACCACTGTTTCTACAAATCAAAGTTTTTCGGGAATCGATTAAATTTAATGTTTTTATTTAAAGGGTTTTTCTTGGACTGGTTGTCTGAATTGCATCCAAATATGCCACACCGCATTTTAATAATTGCAAATGGTACCACACAAACTAAAACACAAACAAAACAAGTTAACGCAACACAAAAACAATAATAAACAAACAGAACAGGTTAACACAACGCAATAACAATAATTTGAAAAGTAATTCGAACCTTACCGAAAGCAAAAACAACAAGTTAAACAAAAAATAGAGTTAGAGTTAACATCCAACAGCATCGCAAAAACAAGAATTTTAGCAGCAGATAATTAAAAAGCACGTTAAAGATTTAAAAACACTCATCAAGTGACATATTTAAGCCCCGCCCAACATGCGCACCATCCTATCTTAATGTGTATGTATCTTGGTGGGATTGTAAAGCAGTTAGAGGAGGGGAAGTAAAACATTGGCGGACGTTTAATTGTTTTGAATTAATCGTTTTAAAATCTTGTACTGCACGCTTATGGCAGAGGGGAAATAAGTATTTTGTTATCCTATTCGTTCAACAATGGTTGTTTGTCTCTCTTATTTATACGTTTATCTCACTTATTCGTACGTTTCATATAGCATGCATCTTTGTTTATTAAACGGCCTAAGAGCCCATTACGATCCCTGTATATTAGGGTGGCCCAAAAAAAAACAATATTTCTTTTCTCGTCTCTTGTGAAATTATGTTGGCTTGTAATGATTTAAGAGCCCTGTCAAAAGATCAGCTCGGTTAAAAATGTCCAAAATCGTCAAAAATTGAATTTTTTTTCTCGTTCCGATATTATTTTTTAATTTGAAAATATTAAAGTTTCTAAAAGTTTTAAATCGATATTTTAATTTCTAAAGGTCGCTCAAGATTTCAAGTATTTTGAATGTTTTCGAGCGACCTCTGAATATAAATATTAACGAACTTTATCGACCTTTAGAAATCAAAATATCGAATTGAAATCTACAGAATTTTTATTATTTTCAGCCTAGAAAATAATATCGGGACAAGAAAAAAAATTTAAATAAAACAAAAACTCAATTTTTGACAATTTTGGAAATTTTAAAAATCTTGAGCGACCCCTAATTTTTTTTTAATCGAGCTGATATTTTGACAGGGCTCTTACAACATGATGAACTAACAAATTTTCACAAGAGACGAGAAAAAAAATTTTTTTTTCATGTAATAGGCAAAATTTCGCCTAATTCATGAAATCGGCAACGGACTTGCCGATATCATATAATGGGTAATTATTTTAATTAAGTTTGCCTATTTCAACGGCACACAGATAATTTATTAATTTAAAGTCAAATGAGCTTTCAAATATTTTATTACAAAAATAAAAAAAATATATAATCTTTCAACCAGTGGCGTAGCTAGCCTCGAGGGGGCCCCGTATCAAAAATCTGGTAGGGGCCCTTATACAGGAAAAGCTGCCGGCAAAGTCTATTCTATCTATTTTTTTTAGGGTTTCATTTTTTTGCATTTGCTTTTTATGTACAGGCAAATTTAAAAATTTGGTCTGGTTTTAGACATTTACCGTTCTTCAACATCTTTTAAAAGGTTTCTATTTAAAAATAATGGCAAGTCATTTGAAATAATTGTAATGCTAATAATTATTTCTAATTTGCTATAAGTATTAGTATGCGGCGCAAAGCACAGAACAATATGCGCAGACTACGCCGCAGAAAACGCATAGCGGAAAGGTGCGAGCAAAAACAATTCGTATGAGTTCACGGCCTCGTTGGAACAGAAGGGTATTCAGGAAAATTTTAATTCAATAAATCGAAGTATAAACAATTAAATATATTTATTATAATAATATATTATTATATTAATATTATTTATTATCTGATATTTGTTTGCGAGCAACACACGTGTTTTTGTAAACAAGTATAGAAAATTGAAAAAAAAACGTAAATTACTGTAAATTTATTACCAGAAAACTCATGAATAGTGAATTAAACAGTGACCAGGGCTCTGTGAAAAAGAAAAGTGGAAATAATATAGAGGAAAACAAACAACTATATAATTCCTTGTATCCCGCGAAATTGTCAATTACAGATATAAATAACATCATAGGCATCAAAGCAAAACCAGAAAAACACCAACAAAAAATTTTACCAAGCAGCAATGAAAAACCATCAACAAACAGTATACAAATGCAGGGAGGTACTGGCATAATTTCAGCTTTAACTCTTCAGACTCAAAAAAATACCCAAACTGGTTTTAAACCTCAAAAGACAATTCCACGAACCCCACCAGAAGCCAAAAATAAAGATGGAACGGAAGGTTTTAACAAAAGGTCTAGATCATCGTTTCTTAACCTCGGGTCGGGACCCAAATTTGGGTCGCAGGCCATATCGAGATGGGTCGCGGGACTTGCGGGATTTGTGTTATTTGATTCCTAAATTTTTTTTTAACTTACTTTAAATAAAGAAAATGTAGAAAATTGATGATTTTATTTTTTATCGGGTCGCGAGCTTCTAATATTTTTGAATTGTGGGTCGCCAGCGAAAAAGGTTAAGAACCGCTGGTCTACATCAAGCTCAAGTCCAGAGATTTTTGCGAATAAAAGACAATGTGATGGAAACAATATTGGAGCAGTACCAAACCAAGTCATCAGAGACAAGAATGAAACAGACATTCCCACTACAGAATTGGAAATCCTGGAAATCATTAATGCTATAGAAAAAATTGAGGAATTATCTACTCTTGAGAAAGAAAAAATGAAACTTAGCTACCAGTCAAAAATAAGAGACGCCACAAAATTCTTACACAAAAAATTCACCATTTTAATCTATCACCTAGGACGCATAGAAAAGGAGAACTTAATGTTAAAATACAAGCTCCAATCCACACAAAACTACACACCAGAAAAAAAATCAAGTACAAACCAAATGGAAAATAACAAATTTGTTAGTTTAAATAGAGACACAAAAATAGAAACACAAAAGAAAAAGACATATGCAGATGTAATAGTGCCAAGAAATTTTGAACAGGATGAAATGATAGACTTAAACAAAGCAGGATGGACAACTCCAGAAAATAAGAAAAGGCATGAAACTCTTATAAAGGTAAATAGTACTACAGACTCAAAGGAAGCAGTAAAAAAGCTTAGAAAAGAAATAGACACCAAAAATACAGAAGGAGGTTTTAGAACAATACGTGCATTAAAAAATGGTACAGTTTTAGTAGAGAGCCATACAAAGAGCCAACAAGATAAATTGAAAATAGAGTTGCAAAACAAGAATGACATATCTGTCAAAGACGCTCAGAGCTATAACCCTATGTTTTTAATTACAGGAATTGAGAAAGGATATCAGGACAGTGAACTCCTAAATGAAATAATTAGGCTAAATATAAATGAGGAAACGATAGAGGAACTTGGAAGAAATATTGAACAAAAAATAAACATTGTAGCGAGAAAACAGTGCAGGAATCCAATGAAAGAAAACTTGGTACTTCAGGCCCCACCAAATATAGCAAAATGGTTTCTGAAAAAGCAAGTGATTGATTTCGACTTAGTAAAAGTGCACATCAAAGAACACTTTAACTTGGCCGTGTGTTTTAAATGCTGTGGTTTTGGACACGTATCAAAGTACTGCACTGGAAAAGACTGCTGCCATAAATGTGGAGAAGAGCACGCAAGAAAAGATTGCACAAAAGACGATTGGAAATGCCCTAACTGCAACAAAATGAAATATATACATATGTTTGGGTCTCGTGCTGAATGATATCATTCGGCACGAGACCCAAACTGTCCAGTATACAAAAGGAGGCTTGAAAAATTTAAGCAAAATATTAATTATACAAACTGTTTTTTTATAAAATATCTAGACCCAGCCACCCTACTTAAAACCAACAAAACAGCACATATTTTTAAGGATCAAGAGTTTTCTATAATTCACCAGAATGTGCAATCCCTGGGAAATTGTGTTGATAAAATTTACTCTATGAAAACTCCAACTGTAATTTTCTATGCATAACCGAACACTGGAGAACGGCAGAAGAATTAGAAAGGCTAAATATTAAAGACTTCAAATTGGCAAACAGTTTCTGCAGAGGTAAAAATGAACATGGAGGAGCAGCAGTGTTTGTAAAAAAAGAAATAAAGTGTACGGCACGAAAAAAGATAAGCAAATTCTTGGTGCCAGGTGAATTTGAATGTGCAACTGTTGAATGTTTGGTAAATAAACAGGCTATTATTATCTTGTCAATATTCAGAAGGCCGAAAGGGAATGTAAATATATTTTTTAATAAACTTGAAGGCATACTTTCTACAATTTCAAATGAAAACAAATTAATTTTTTTAGCTGGGGATCTTAATATTAAAATGCTAGAAGATAACAACAAAAAAGATGAACTATTATGCTTAATGGCTTCTTTTTCACTAAAGCAAACCATTTTCTCACCCACAAGAATAACTCCATCATGCAAAAGTTGTTTAGACAATATATTTACAAACTGCCATTCATTTACGGCAATGGTGCTTAATACACACCTGTCCGATCATAATGCACAAAAAATCACTTTTATTATAGAAACAATGATTAAAAATAACTTTATCCACAGAAGATTTTATAAAAAAGAAAATAAAAATGATTTTTTGAAAATGTTGAAAGAAGAAACATGGGACAGTGTATATGAGGTTAACATAAATTATGTAAATAGTCAATGGAATAATTTTATCAAAATATTTTCTAATATTTTTAACCATTGTTTTCCACTTAAAATTACAAATAAGTATAATAAAAATAAAGTAAAGTATAGTCCTGAAATTCTGAAATGTAAACAAAACCTAGACAGACTACATGTTCTATTAAAACACAATGAAATGAATACATAGAAATTACAGAAAAATACAATCAACTTCTAGTTAAAGAACGTGCAAAAAAATATGATACACAAATAAAAAATTCAGATAATAAATCAAAAAGTATGTGGTCAATATTTAATGAGATTCAGGAAAAGACCCCAGATAGATAAATGCGATATCGAGGGTGATCCTACCTTAGTAGCAAATAATAAATAATAAACATCTCCTTACAATTATTCCAGACCTATTAACTAAGTTACCCAAAGTACCACTTACATGCAACATCAGTGATAGCGACAAGTCAATGTTACTAAAACCAATTACAAGCACAGAACTTCCTTAAAATATGCCAAAAATTATAAAATAAACATAGTAGTGGAGAAGACGGAATATCTACAAGTATAATCAAAGTTAGCATCACGGAGATAGATAGTATTTTATGTCATATTATCAACAACTCGTTAAAATTTGGAATCTTCCCGGAACGACTAAAACTAGCTGTCATCAAGCCAATTTACAAAAAAGGAGAACAGTCAGACTTAAACAACTATAGGCCAATAAGCTTACTCCCTGGTTTCTCAAAACTATTTGAGGCAGTTATGTGTTCTCAACTAGTAAACTTTATAGAAACATGCAATTTGTTTTCCACAGGACAACATGGCTATTTAAAAGGTAGATCAACCACTACAGCTATTTTCCAGTACACAAAGTTAGTGATAGAGCTACTTGAAAAAAAGAAAAATGCATTGGGAATCTTTCTAGACCTATCTAAGGCATTTGATTGTCTTGATCATGACCTCCTGATGTACAAGTTAGAAAAATACGGGCTCCGAGGTAACGCTTACATATGGGTTAAATCATATCTTTCAAATAGAAAACAACAAGTTCAAATTAAAAATGATAGCAAAATGTTTAAGTCTGAAATGACACGACACAAATTTACTAGTAAAGGGCTCCACACTGCAAGAACTAGTGCCTAATGGTGATGAGGCATTTAATAAAATACAAGACTGGTTTACCAAAAACAAATTAATTTTAAATACAACAAAAACCAATATTATACTATTTCGAACAAAGCAAAATCGCATAAGCATTCCTAATAATATAAAAATTGCCGACACTGAATTGGAAGTAACAGGAACACTTGAAGTATTGGGTATTTATCTTGATGAGTTTCTGAATTGGGGCCACCAAATTAAGCAGGTTTGCTCAAAACTAGGCGGAATTAGCTATGAAATTCGCACTGTTGCTAGGTATATGAATATTGAGACAGTAAAAATTATTTACCACGCGAACTTTAAATCCATAGCAAGATACGGTATAATTTTTTGGGGAAGCAATGCAGAGACTCAACAAGTTTTTGTTCTACAAAAGCGGACAATTCGAACGATTAGGAAAATGAAATTTGATGAAAGCTGTAGAGGGGTTTTTAGAACACTAAATATTATGACCATATATGGATTGTATATTTATGAATGTCTATAATTACAATACTAATACTAATTACAATACTAGACATCAAATTGTGTTATATCCAAGACATCGCCTCACTTTAACAGAAAAAAGTCCCTACTATATGTGCAAGAAACTATTTAATAAATTACCTGCTTCAATCAAAGAACTGGGTGGAATTAAGCAGTTTAAACGCAATATAAAAAAACCATTGTAAACATAGAACCCTACAACATAGAAGAGTATTTTAGTTATACATTTTAAATAGGATTATTGTATCTAAGGATAGACATACCGTACCTTCATTTGCAAGCTAACCATAGGGAAAATACATTGTAACTGGACCAGATAAGTCGCAGTCAACACAAAGCGAGAACCTTCTCAGAAATGATTTGGATGCGTCGTCGAGACATGCGTACTAATAGTTATTTACGTGTCAAGCTTTGTAAATGAATCTTTACGGGCGAGCTGGAAGTTTGTGGGGTGAGCGACGCAGGAGCGAACTCCATATTTCAGTGAGCCTAGTAAAGATTAATTGCAAAGCGTGACACGTACAAAGTTTTATTTTTACCTTAAGATAACGATTTTCAAATTTAAAATTTCAATTAATGTGTCAAATGTGTCATTTCATTTCATAAATTGCTTTTCTACAAGCTTGTAAAACTTTACAGGTCTTTTATACAAGCCCGTAAAATATTACAGGTCTGTTCCCATAATGTATCGTTTACTTGGATACAAAAACAACAAAATTAACCTATAAAATGTCATTTACTAAGAAGGGAGAAATAATAGTTATTTACGTGTCAAGCTTTGTAAATGAATCTTTACGGGCGAGCTGGGAGTTTCTGGGGTGAGCGATGCAGGAGCGAACCCCATAATTCAGTGAGCCTAGTAAAGATTAATTGCAAAGCGTGACACGTACAAACTTTTATTTTCACCTTAAGACAACGATTTTCAAATTTAAAATTTCAATTAATGTGTCAAATGTGTCATTTCATTTCATAAATTGCTTTTCTACAGGCCTGTAAAACTTTACAGGTCTTTTATACAAGCCCGTAAAATATTACAGGTCTGTTCCCATAATGTATCGTTTACTTGGATACAAAAACAACAAAATTAACCTATAAAATGTCATTTACTAAGAAGGTGGAAATAAAACAAATTTAATCCCCAGGGATCGAGACTCAAGTTGAGTCACTCAAGTGGAGTCAGCAGCGCTGCCAATGTGTGGAGAATTCCCCAAAATGCGGGGAATTTAGCATTGTTGCGGGTAATTTGTGGGGAAATTAATAGTGTGGGGAATTTCGGGGAATTAATAGTTTTCACTAAATTTTGCTTCAAAACATTTAATGTTACAGAGCTTCTGTTTTTCTAATTCTGAACTTATGTTATTTAATAAGCGAAGCTGCATTATAGTTGTTAAAAGCGTAGTTTCCAAAATTATCAATTATCTTTGGAATGTGTTATGTGTGTGTGATACGCAAAAATTAATCTTTGGTTCGATAAGCTAATAAATCAAATTGGTTTTATTCATAAGCCTATAGTTTTATTTTATACCACGTGCTTGTGTGTACTTTGATTATTCAAATTTTCAAGGTTCTGTTCCAAATAACTACATGATGGATAAATGGCTAACTAAAGTTCCTCCTAATGGCGAGGTAAAAGTAAAATATTCAGTTTCAGTTATTAGTTTTTCAGCATATAAAAATTGTATGTGTGTTTTGCCACTTGCGCTGTAAGCATTGATGTACAACTATGCTCGAATGAATTCCTTACGTAAATTAAATTTTTATCCATTAGAACCAGTTTTTTATTTTTCTGCTAACTATTAAAATTTCTTTTAATACGATCTGTGTAAAAGAAATCAAATTGATTTTTATTAAAATTAGCAGAAGTTTAAAAAACTGACTCATAATCATATGAAATGTATGATTTTGTTATGTTTTGTATTAAATAAAAGTGTACTCTGAAAAACATTTAAAAATAAAAAAGAAATCCTAAATAAAAAACTTAAAAATGAAACTCTAACAAATCTAGAGACGGTTTTCAAAAGTACCTCCCCCTTGTGCCAAACAATATCCCAACCTATCATAAAATTCCCGCCGGACGTTTGCTAGCATAAGAGGAGTAATGGCCTGAAATTGGTCTTCAATTTTATTTGAAGCTGATTTAGGTCATTAGCCCTCTGATGCTCATGTCCATAAATCATAGACTTAATATAGCCCCACAAAAAAAGTCATTCGGGGCCAAATCAGGTGACCTCGCCGGCCACCGAATTGTGCCCCGTGTTGAAAAAAAATTTGTTGTAGATATTCTACAACTCTTAGACTATTAAGGGCTGGACATCCATCCTGCTGAAACCATACATTGTTTAGGTTTGGATTAATGACGCAATGCAGGAATAATTTGGTTTTGCAATAAGTGCAAGTAAGATTTACCATTTAAATTGCCATTAATAATAAATGG